TATTTCTTCCTAACACCAAGGCTGGCTCTCTGTCCAGGGTCATGTGGGCTCTCTAAAACATCTAACGTAATTCTTGTGCTGATGCTGAGGGAGGTACAAAAATAGATGTAATCCCTGCCCGGGTTAAGATGCATTTATTCCCTGCCCTTAAAGGCTAGGATCTAACAGGGAAAGCAAAAGCTACACACGCACCAATATTGTATAATGCTATGACTTTGTGGGGGTGAGTGCTTTCTAAACATAAGATGATAAATGACCTTTAAGAGATGCAAATTCACCATCTGATGATCCTGAGCCCGCCCTTCCCTAGCTGGGCTGTCCTCAGACTGAGCTTAGACTTAGCTTAGAAATACTTGACAGAGGGGCAGCTAGGTGGCGCAGTGGATAGAGCACCGGCCCTGAAGTCAGGAGAACCTCAGACCAAACACTTGACACTTACTAGCTGTGTGACCCTGGGCAAGGCACTTAACCCATTGCCTAGCCAAAAAAGCCAAAAGTGTATTTATTTGTTTGTTGTCTTCCCCATTAGACTGTAAGCTCCTTGAGGGCAGGGACTGCCTTTTGCCTTTTCTTGTATCTTCAGCACTTAGCGCAGTGCCTGGCATATAGTAGGCACTTAATAAATGTCTTCTGACTAATTGACTGGCACCAATCGGTTTTGTCCTTGACTCATAGATTCTTGCCCTGGCTCTACCCCTCTGCTTCTTCCGGATGTGTACATCTGCATCTCCTCTCTGCTGGAGTGTCTGTCTGTCTGTTTTCCTTTCCCACCCAGCTGCCTCCTTGGACTTCATGATCTCCAGAAACTTATTCTGCTAGCTGAAATCAGCTCTGCAAGTCTCACTTTTTCAGCACCCTCTGGCCCTGGGGCTCCTCTCACCCCTCTGATTGGAGGGTGGATTTTCGATCCTCCCCCATTGGGGGGATGGGAGGATCACCTCATCATTTCCCACCAGCTATTCTCCAGGACTTTATGACCTCCAGAAACTAAAAATCTGCAAGATGAAATCAACTCTGAGACTCTCACCTCTTCAGAGCCTGTCAGTCTTCCTGCAAGACTTTATTAGATCCAGTGCAGGTAACTTCTCTCCCCACAATCTCTTCCCCACCCCCTCCAGTCTTTTCCCCTTTTGTCCCTGTGATTGTCTCCCAGTCTTCTCTTAAAGCTCCCCAAGGGTGTGAGCCTCCTTGTGTATCATCATTCTCATCATCAAGGTGGTGTTGGCCTGTGTGAAATCCTATTAAAAAGCCTTCTTTCCTGGTAAAACTGAAATGGATTAATGGTGATTAATTTGACTCCTTATTCTGAATTTAATTCATTATCTAGATCTCTAGATTGGCATTAGGACCACCAGCTCTATTCATGGAGGGAAGGACCTTCTCTTTATTTAAATCTTGGAGTTAAGGGAGTGAATGGAATGTATTGGTTAATATCCTAGATAGTAAAAGTCACATCATGCACAAATTAGAGGAATGAGTACATTTCAGATGTATGGATTGGGGAAGAATTCATAAATAAGCAACAGAAAGGATCATAAGATAAAATAAATAATTTTGCCTATATAAAATTATGATTTTTGCACAAATTTAATGTACTTAAAATTAGAAGGGAATAATGTAAATGGGGGAAATCTTTGCTGCAAGTTTCTCTGATAAAGGTCTCATATCTGAGATATATAAAGAACTGATTCAAAATTACAAAACTAAGAGCCATTTCCCCATTAATAAATGTCCAAAAGATCTGATAATAGTAGCCAGCATTTGTATAAAGTTTTACTGTGCAAAGTGCTTTACAAATACGATCTCATCTGATCCTTACAACAACTCTGGGAATAAGGTATTATTCTGTATTTTTCAGATGAGGAAACTGAGGCAGACAGGTTAAGTGACTTGTCTAAAGTCATGAAACTAGTAATTGCCTGAGGAAGCATTTGAACTAAGGTCTTTCTGGCTCCAAGTCCTGACTTCTACTACCTACTCTACCACTTAACTACCTCCGTGAATAGTCAGCTTTTTGAATAGGCAGTTTTCAAAGGAAGAAATCTCAGTTATCAACAGCCACACGGAAAAAAAAATGCTTTAAATCACTAACTAGAGAAATACAAATTAAAGCAACTTTGAGGTTCCCGTCACACCCATCAAATGGACAAAGATGAGAAAGGAGGAAAATAACGAATGTTGGAAGAGCTGTGGGAAAACAGGTACGCTGGTGGACTGTTGGTGTAACAATTACTTGGTCCGAGTCTGGAAAGCAAATTGGACTAATATCACCAAAGTTACTAAATTGTGCATACTCTGGCAGAGCTACTTGGCTTAGTTGGAGAGAGGAGTCAGGAAGACCTGAATTCAAATCTGGTCCCAGACACTCACTAGCTAGGGGACCCTGGGAAAGTCATTTAACTTCTGACTGCCTCAGTTTCCTCACCTGTAAAATAATACCAGTGATAATACTAGCACCTACCTCCCAAGGTTATTGTGAGGATCAAATGAGATAATATTTATAATGCGCTTAGAATATAGTAGTGCCTGATAAATGCTTTTTTCTTTCCTTCTTTCTTTTTCTTTCTTTCCTTCTTTCTTTCCTTCTTTCTTTCTTTCTTTCTTTCTTTCCTTCTTTCTTTCTTTCCTTCTTTCTTTCTTCCTTTCTTCCTTTCTTCCTTCCTTCCTTTTTTCTTTCCTTCCATCCTTTCTTCCATCCAGCTAGTTATGTCATCACTAGGCTTATACCCTCAAAGACTGAATGGAAGTATCTAAATGTATAAAAATATTTCTGGTAGCTCTTTCCATAGTAGTTTGGGAACTAAGAGAGTTTCTTCCCATTGGCTAAACAAATCATAATATATAACCTGGGCAGGTCTGACCATGCCTTTTGCCTAACATGAAAGCAACCTCGAGGGATCTTTGGAGCGTGTCCAGTTTGCCTGAGTTCTAGGTAATGGAATATTATTATGCTATAAATGATGAAATGGACAGTTTCAGAGGAGATTGAGACCTCTGTGACCTGATATGCATCAAAGTGAGCAGAAGTAGGAGAACAATTTGTATAAATGATAACAACAACATTGTAGAGGAAAATAATTTTGAAAGACTTTAGAACTCTGATCAACTCTGAGATAAGCCATGAGTCCAAAACAATGAAGATGAAACACACCAGTCACCTCCTGACAGAGAGCTAATTAATTTAACGTGCAAAAATACAGGGTCAATGTGGGGATTTTTTTTTACTGCACTATGCAGATATGTATCAAGATCTTTATTTTTCTTGTTCATTGGGGGTCAGTGGGCAGGACAGATTACAAATATAGGCCTAAATAAATGGAGGATAAATGAATAGAAGGGAGGAAGGGAGAGAGGGAGGAAGGGAACAGGAAAGAAACAAGGAAGGAAGGGTCTGGAGAACTAGGGGACAAGTATCCAGTCTATGAATTTAAGTAATTTCTAAAAGCTCCCCTTCCTCGATTTCATACTTTGGGAGACTAGAGAGGAAAAAAGGGCTTGTCTGACTCCTCTGACTGTTTCATGTCTGGGCATGCTCTACTACACTGAGAATACAAAGAGCATGCTGGAATATTAAAAATCATAGTAATGGAATATTGGAATATTTTGGAAAACAAGATGTCAGAGCTGGGAGGGCCCTTAGAACACAGGATGTCAGAGCTGGGAGGGTCCTTAGAATACTGGATGTCAGAGCAGGGAAGGCCCTTAGAACCCAGAATGTTGGAACTGGGAGAGTCCTTAGAACCTAGAATATCAGAGAAGGGAGGATCCTTAGAACACAGGATGTCAGGGCTAGGAAGGACCTTAGAATACAGAATGTCAGATGGGGGGAAGCGTAGAACCCAGAATATCAGAGCTGAGAGGGGCCTTAGAACATGGAATGTCAGAGATGGGGAGGACCTTTAGAACATAGGATGTCAGAGCTGGGAGAGATCTTAGAATATAGGATGTCTAAGATGGGAGGGCCCTTAGAACACAGGATGTCAAAGCTGGTAATAATGAGATTTAGGGTGTTGGAACCCTCAAAATGTGAGGGTACAGGGCAACCTTTCCTGGAATTAATTTACACACTCAAATTGTCTTCCAGTCAAGTGGCAAAGTTTATTGCAATGCCCATAAGGTGGTCGAAGATCCTTACGAAACTTGCAAACTTACGAGGATGATGCTAATGCTTATATGAAAAAAGGGACAGGGAAAGGAATGTATGGGAAAATTGAGAGTCAACAGAGAAAGCTCTGTTGATACCAGATATTGGGGGAGAAGGGACAAGAAAGTTCTGTTCCAGGTGCCAGAGACAGAGTCCTCGGGTGGGCGCCCTGTGTGTGTGCTGAAAGCCTTTGTCTAAGGAACTACAGAGTCAGGTATGTGTATGCCTGTAACAAGGAAAGATTTTCTCTAGGATTCTGAGTTGCTTCAAGAGACATGGTCTTTGGCTTTTGGGGTCCAGGTCCCACTACCATATCAGGAGGGCCCTTAGAACACAGGATGTCAGATATGGGAGGGGCCTTAAAACACTAAACATCAGAGCCCTGAGAGCCCTTAGAACATAAAATGTTAGAGCTGGAAGAGGCTTTAGAAAAAAGACTCTTTTTTTTTTTTTGGTGAGGCAGTTAGGGTTAAGTGACTTGCCTAGGGTCACATAGCTAGTAAGAAAAAAGATTCTTAATCTAGGGTCTGTAGATAGATTTCAGGAGGTCTATGAACTCGGGTGGGGGGAGAGGGGGAATGCATCTTTATTTTTGTTAACCTTTGTTTTCCTTTGTAATCTTAAGCTTTTAATATTATGCAGTTAAGAGGTCTATAACACCAAAAAGGTTAAGAGCCCCTGCCTTAGAACACAGAATGTTAGAAAAGGAGCAGAATATTAGATCATCCGATAGCCAGGACTTGGTTTGCGCTTCCAAGCTGTCCTGCTCCTGGGCTCCACCAGGTGGCAGCAGCAGCAGCAGCAGCAGCGGTGGGGGGAGCCACCCGAGTGCCCCGCCCCTTCCTCCTCCCCTCTCTGGAATTGCTCCGTCCGTGAGGTCAGCGCTGGGCGCCTCATCTCCCATAAGGCCTCGGGTCGGAAGCTCCATTCTCTCTTCCGGTTCTCCACAATGGCGGTGAGTAGCTGCAAGTGTGGGGCTGTTCCCGCCATCCGTCTCCATCCTCCGCGCGGCGGGCCCATCGGGGCTGCGGCGCCGGTCGGCCACGGGCCTCGAGGCCTGCTCCGTCCCCCCAGCGGGCCTGGAGAGGGCTCCGTAGGCCAGGGGCGCGCTGGGCTGTGCCCTCGACCGGCGGGCGGGCCCCGAGGAGGCCTGCGGAGGCGTCCGCGGAGCGGGCGCCGAGGCTTGGCCGCTTTCTCTTCTCCTGGGGCAGCTCCTGGAACCCTCGGGAGCAGGGAGGAGGAGGGCGACCGGGTGCAGGGGCCGCACGAGATCCCGGAAATAAGGAGGGGCAGTCGGGGCCTGCATGAATTACCGCGGTCCGATTCGGAGCAGAGCCCGACTAGCTGTATGATGCAAGCAATTCACTTTAATCTCTCCGTCTGATTTTCCTTGTTTGCAAAATGAGGGCTTATCATACATACTAGTCTTACAGGTTTGTTGTGAGGCTCCGGGGAGCTGGTTCATGTAAAGCGCTTTTGAGAACTTCAGGTGTGGGGTGGGGGTGTCTTTGCCCGGGCGTGTTTGTATGTATGGAGGAGTCTCTGGGGTAGCTGAAAGAGCTTACACTTGGGAGTCCCAGCTTATCCCTCTGTGCCTGTATCAAGGCGGCAAGCATTTACTACCACCTTCTGAGTGCCAGGCACTGTGTTCAGCCTTGGGGTTACGTAAAAAAAAAAATTTAAAAGGCAGTCCTGGTTCTTGAGGAGGTCATGGTGTAGTGGAGGACTTGCAATAACTGTGTCGAGACAAGATAAATTAGAGGTAATCTCAGGAGGAAGGCAACAGTATTAAGGATTGTGAAAGATATTTCCAAAAAGGTAGATTTTTAGCTTCAACCTGAAGGAAGCCTAGAGTATTGTAGACATGGAGGGGGAGGGGGAGGAGTCAGTAAAAACGTAGGAAGTGTGAGCTTTAGCTTTTTTTGCAAAGGAGGGCCTTTTAAGGGTTGTGTTTGTGGAGAATCAAGTGATTTAATGAATACAGATAATGGGAAATGCTGTGTGTATGTCACCTGTAATTCTTTTTTTGAGATTATTTTGGCTTGATAGCTCTCACATGGGCCCCCCTTTTATGCCGGCAGCACTCCTCTCCCTTCTTAAAACATACAAAATAGATTATACTTTTTGGCCTGCAGTAGAAAGAAACTTAATTTCCAGACCCAACTTTATCCTTCAGTCAGGCAAACATCTACCAAATTTCTCTGGACAGTGCTATGCTCAGGGAAGTTAAAAAGTTTAGAAAATGGCAGTCTCTATTCAAGTTGCTATTAGGTGGATAAAACATAATTAGATAACAGTGATTAAAAAAATGTGTGTGTGTATATAAGGGCTGGAGAAAACAGTGCTTTGCCTAGGGTCCAGTAGGGAGGGAACAGAGGAAACTTAATGGAGAAGGTGATCTTTGATGTTTAAAGAATGAGTGGAAATTAAAACTGAAAAGGAATCAGACATTGGAAATAGGTGGTGGCATAAGAGTGCAAGGCATGTTAGGGGGGCAATTTGTGTAATGTAGATAAAGGGAAATCTGAGAAGACTTGTTGAACAGTGCAGAGTGAATTAAGTAAAACAAGGATAAAAAAAAATTTTTTTACAATAACGTTGTAAAGACATATTTGAAAGACTTCGAAATTCTGACCGGTATGAAGACCAACTATGATTCCAAAGGACTCATGTGAAAACATGATAGTTGATAAGCTCAGTGCACATGAAGACATATTTTTGGACATGATCAATTTGGGAATTTGTTATGCTTGACAACACGTTTGTAACAAGGGTTTTTGATTTTCTTAAACAGTGATTAGGGAAAAAATTCCCATGGCTTCAACGTGCAGCTTTCCTGTCTATAAGAGGCAGAACAGCAGTTACTCTCAGTGGCAAGAATGTTGTGGACAGTGTCGTTATTTACACGCTAAAGACCACTGGCTATTATGAAGGTGGCACTTGTTGCAGCAACTTTGTTTGGTGCACTGACCAATGCACCTCATTCTCTTGCAGCAAGATCAGGGTGAAAAGGAAAACCCCATGCGGGAACTGCGCATCCGTAAGCTGTGCCTCAACATCTGTGTTGGGGAGAGTGGGGACCGACTGACCCGAGCTGCCAAAGTGTTGGAGCAGCTCACAGGCCAAACCCCAGTGTTCTCCAAAGGTAAATATGGATAAAGCCAGGCCTGGGAGAGGCAGGGAGTCCTGGGGCTTCGCCTTTCCCTTCTACAATTTGAGAGTTGTAAGCCCCTCTAGGATTCCCTGTAAAAGCCTTCCTAAGGAAGCTTGGTGGAGTTGGTATAGTAGTAAGAAGACTGAAATTGAGAGTCGGAGGACCTGGGTTTTAATTTCACTGCTGAGTTGTGTAGCTTCAGGCAAGACGCTTCCCTTTTTTCAATCCTGTTTCCTCCTGTATAAAAATGAGAGGCTGGGAGAAAATGGCTAGGCAGCCAGGCGGCTCAGTGGATAGAATGCCAGGCCTGGAGTCAGGAAGACCTGACTGAGGTCAAATGTGGCCTCGGATACTTACTAGCTGTGTGATCCTGGGCAAGTCACTTCACCTGTTTGCCTCAGTTTCTTCATTTGTAAAACGAGAAGGAAGTAACAAACCATTCCAGTATCTCTGCCAGGAAAACCCTTAATAGGATCATGAAGAGTCAGACATGACTGAACTTCACCAGAAGATGGTCATTGGCCTCCTTTCCAGGTCTGACCTATGGTTCTGTGATTACCTATAGTTAAGGTTAAAGAAAGGTGCTGCAGAAGGTCAGGGAATTAGAGGTTTCAATCTTGGCAAAATGTAAGCATAGTTCATTCTAGTCAGATGAAGGCTGGTAACCGAATATAGCCAAAAGCTTTGGTAGGGAAAGAGGCTGAACCCATCAGTGCAAACCAAACATATGGATTCCCTTTCTAGAAGGTGGAGTGATTTTAAAAGATTCCAGGAGGGAATTTTGATTTTCTGAGGTGCATTGTAAAGAAGGCCCACCTGGAATAGCTATTTAAAGGAGCTCTGTGGGTGTGTAGCTAGTGTATATTTGATTAAAGAATACTGTAGTTTGTTCACAGGGACTTTTTCTAATTTGTTTTGTATTTGATTAGCTTGTTGTTTAAATACATTCAGAGTAGTCAGACTTTTTATTGTAGCATGGTGTTTGCCCACATATGCCTGGGAAAGTTTTCAGCAAACGATCCTGACTTCGAACTTTGACTCTTTTCAGTGTTTTGTGGCTTGGGAAGCTTAGTCAAGTGTATGTATTTATGTTATAAATTGAATCTGAGAGTAGTGGCCAGAAAGCAGTGAGATGTAATCCAAAAACCACTAGGCTGAGCTTCAGGAGTCCTGGGTTCTAGTCTCACTTCCCTTGCTGTGTGATACTAAGGAAGTGACCCAGATTCTCTGAATCTCAAAAGAGTTAATCTTTTGCCCTATGGACCATGACACTATTATTGCGAAAGAGGTGGGCTGATGGACAAGAACTCCAGAGTGGCTCCTCACCAGCTTGTCAATCTCTCCTGCAGCTCGCTATACTGTCAGATCTTTTGGAATCCGGAGAAATGAGAAGATCGCCGTTCACTGTACAGTCCGTGGGGCCAAAGCTGAAGAGATTCTGGAGAAGGGCCTGAAGGTTAGGCATGTTTCTCAAACTATACATTAACTTGTTCAGTGAGCTTGTATTGACTTCTCTTTTCTTTAAGGTGCCTTATGTCATACGCTATTGGGGATAAGATTCATTCGTTAGATTAATTTCACTATTTCTTCTTCCTGCGCCAATCCTTTTCACTCCCCCGTGGGAGCAGGTGTTAGAGTTAATGAAAGGATGCCAGTCATTTGTGTCACCTCTGTCTCAGACATGCTGTATAGAGTCAAGGATCTAGTGTCATATTCCCCGTCGTTTTTGGGACCTCTGATATACTTATTCTGTGCATGGCAGGAGTTTTGTAGTTGCATGAAATCCAGCTGTGAGCATATGTTTTCTCATCTCCAAAACGAGAGATTTGGATTAGATTCTTTCTCTTTAAGGTCCCTTTAAGCTCTGAATCCTATGATCTGAAGCTGTTTGCTTAGTTTAGGAAGGAAGAGCACTGATTTGTCGGGGGGGGGGGGTGTCCCAAACTGTCATTCGTCTGTCTGTGGCAATGTTCCAAGTTGAGGCAGCTGAGTTCCATATGTCAGCATGAATTTTGACCATTGTACTCCTCTTTCTCAGGTGCGAGAATATGAGTTAAGGAAAAATAACTTCTCAGACACTGGCAACTTTGGCTTTGGGATCCAAGAGCACATCGATCTGGGGATTAAATACGACCCAAGCATCGGCATCTACGGCTTGGACTTCTATGTGGTACGGGCGCTTCGTTCTTGTCGCTCTCATCTCTGTCCCCTGGGGTTGACATGACTTTAGGTCCTCCACTTTCTGGGAAGGGAATCCACATGTTGGGTTTGCACAGGTGGCTTCAGCCTCTTCCCCTACCAAACCTTTTGGCAGTATTCATTTTATCAGCCTTCGTCTTTACTCCCAACTCTTCTTTGGGGGTGCTAAACAGGGAAGCAGACAAGCTAGAATTTGGAAGTGGGTAACAGGACTGTGTGGCCTTGGGCAAGTCACCTTCTCTGGGCCACAGTTCCCAGATGATTGCAAATCTCCATTCAATTCTTCAAACATCCCCTGCGGCTCTAAATCCAGTTTGCTCAGTCAGAAGGAATATAGATTGGAAACTTGGACCAGTTTCAATGCAGTGTTCCTCAGGAAAGTTGGATTCTGTTCTGCTTCGTTCTCCTTTCTCCTACTTATCGCGTGCCACTCTGGTGACTTGCACTGGTTTCCTGGCCCCAGTAATCCTCCCTTTGTGCCCATCCTGTCTTTGCCTGCTGGGCTCTCCATGGCCCTGTGCCTACTTCTAATGCCCTTGCTGGCCAGCCAAGCCTGAATGTACCCCAGTAAGTGAGCACAATCATTGCCTCATTCCATGATCGTCTTACAGTTCAGTGCCTGGGTAGGTATGGAAGTTGGTGTCTTGTGTTAGGGCACTGAAATTCCCTGAACCATTATCTGTGAGAAGGGGAGAATAATTGGACTGTCTCTGGGTCATGACGAGTGTACTTGGTCAGGCACTGTAGAAAGTGGATTAGGATTAATTGCAGATTCAAGATCAACTGCTGTTTTCTGACTTTTCACACACAGGCTGTGATCATTGCTTCCCAGCCTTAGTATTTATTCCATGGGTACTTGCATGGTACTGGTTTTGCTAAAGAATGCCTTGTAAGCTGGAAAGGAAATACTCTCACACTGAAAAGTAGATGTTGAGGGAGAGCCCGGCAAGTTAGTGAGAGATCTTTGGGAGTTTGGGGAGGGATTGGTGATGCAGAATCATAGCCTTTAGCTCTCAATGGAACATTGAGCATCAGTCCAGTGCCTTCATTTATGAGTAAGAAAAGGAAAGCCACTTGGGGCAGGGGTAGCCGCAGAATCTGTCCACTCGGGGACTTTTCCCAGCCACGTGAATCTCTAGTTGGTGCTTCAGCCCTGGGCAAGCAAGTTGATTGTTGACTGTTTGTGGGGCAGGTGCTGGGCAGGCCCGGATTCAGCATTGCAGACAAGAAGCGTAGGACAGGCTGCATTGGGGCCAAACACAGAATTGGCAAAGAGGAAGCCATGCGCTGGTTCCAGCAGAAGGTAAGAGGATTCTTCTCTTCGTCCAGGTAGCATCCTTTCAGAAAAGGATGCTTAAGCCTGCTTGGAGAGGGGCATTTAGGAGGCTGAGGATGGCCCGGGGGGGGGGAGCGGTGTTAAGGTTGGCAAGGAACAATGGGGGGAAGTGACACGTTCGGTGTGATTGGTTTCCTTTATATTTTATTCACATAAAGACATTCTGAAAGTAATTTCTCTGGGTCTAGACTGCTGAAGGGTCCATGACAAAGATTAAGAACACCTGGTCCAGAGTAAAGGTTGGGGCCAAAGGGGGTGGCTTGTCTCAGCAGGAGGCACTGGGAGATACCTCCCCTCTAACTGTACCTGGTGTGGCCTTTTACAGAAAAAAGTATTGTGGGGATTGTTCTTCCCAAGCTCTTCATGTAGGTTTGCCATACCTCGAAGCTGTCATAGCCACGTCATTAAAATCAGAAGACTTTCCTACAATTTTTTTACAACACAAGGCTGAATCAAACACAGCAGATAGTAACCTTGTTAGCAAATGTTGACCAATTGGCTTTGCCTGCTTAAAATTACAAAAGGGAGCTGGGTTTAATAAACAAAGCCACTACAGCTGCTGTTTAATTCCCTCCTGTTACCTCTGATTCTGAAAAAAAAAATCTTTTCTTTTGCAGTATGATGGCATCATCCTTCCTGGCAAATAAAGTCCTGTTTTCTATTAAAAGGTCAATAAAATGATCACTGACGTGTATTCTGTGTTGTGTTCTGTGGGAAGAACCCATGCTCACGTGCCTGGGTGGGCCTGCCTGCCTGGAGGGCAATGCCTGTTGAGAATTATCTCTGCCATAGCAGACAGAGCACTGGATTTAGAGTTGGGAGCACCTGGGGTGAATGCCGCCTCTGCTCTGACCACATTTGTGACTGTGGACATTCCTCTGGATCTCAGTTTCCTCCTCTAAAAGTGTTCTTCAGCGGTTCTAGATCTCTGAACTTTCTTGGCCGTCGTCAGCCAGTTTGTCCCACACTGCCAGCTCAGTGAAATGTCAAAGAATTGTTTTTTTACTTGAAAAGAACTTTGGAGAGGTGGTGATGGTGGCAAAATGCAAAAGTGTTTGCAATACTTTTGAGTTTTGCAAAGCACTAAACTCATAGCAACCCTGTGAGGGTCAAATAATAAAATATTACTGCCATTTTATGATGAGGAAACTGAATCCCAGAGAGGTGACTGCCATGGTCATGAAGCTGGTAATGTCAGAACTTTGATTTGGCCCAGGTCTCCTGAACCCATATCCAGTACTCTTAACGTGCCATGATTCCTTTTTAATGAAACAGGGTAACAGGCCCAGAGAAGGGAAGCAGTGGGTCCAACATCTCACAGTGACTTAGTGGCTGAACCCCAGGCCTCCTTTTAGTGCTTCTGCACTCCATGTAGTCGACAACCAGGAATCTGAACCCTTCCATTTTAAAGTGACCGGTGCCCTTTGGCCTGGACAATTCCCCGGTTCCAGACATTGACCATTCACTGGGGAGTGGAACCTGTTTCTGAGGGTACTGAACCTTTTCTAGAGCATTTTGCTATGGCAACACTACCTTGATGGTGTAAAGGGGAATGCAGGCTGAGGGTGGGCCTGCCACTGCACTGCCTTCCTGCTGCCCCCACTGGAACACTGGTGCTTAGGATTCCTGGGAGTTAAAGGGCATAGCCACTAACCAGCCTTCAGTGCTAATTGTTACTTGAAAATGTTAACATCAGTGAACACAAATTACTGCATCTCAAAGTGGTGATGCCAACTTCAGAGTGGTTTAGAATGTTGAGGTAGAGGTGGAGCAGAAAACCCTTAAAACAGGCTAGTGTGGTTCGGGTGAACTGTCTCCTACAGCTCCATAATCCCGGACCCAGCCTTAAAGAAGGCCGTGTTCGTGGGTCCAAGAAGTCAACTTTACCAGAGAATCAGAAAGACCTGAGTATAAATCCAGCCTCAAGGCACCAGCTGTATGACTGGGCAAGTCACTTAACCCTGTTTGCTTTAGTTTCTTCATCTGTAAAATGAGCTGAAGAAAGAAGCAGCAAAACACTGCAGTATCTTTGTCAAGAAAACCCTAGCTGGGGTCATAAAGAATCAGACACAGCTAAAACAAATGAACAGCTGCTGTACAGATTGATCAAACCCAGAGCCTAACCAAGCAGCCCCTTGAGTAACTCAGCAGAGGGAAGGGAGGAGCCTTTCCACAGGAAAATGAAAGACTACGTAATTAAACAGCACAGTTGGAGGAGGCTTGGAGATGGCCTCGGCATGATCCAGAGCCCGGGTGTGCACTGGTCCAGTACAGATTTTATATATCGAGAGCAAGGAGAGCTGCCTTATACATATTCGATGGACTTGTGGCTTAATTCCTGAAATAGTGACTCCCTTCCTGAGAGCCTGTCCATACCCGTGGTTCTCCATGCCTTTTGATTCTGAGCGGTGACTCTCCTGTTGTAGTCACGTTTCTGAGGTACCGTATGGTCTGCAAACACTTCCCCACAACTTTTGAGACTTAGTATTTTGCCTGTTTTAGAATTGAAACAGCCATAAGTAACAGCCTCGTGTCACACAAATGTCCATGTGGAAGGGCATGCAGTAAGCCCTCAGACCTGTGGGCCCCAGTATGAAGCCATCTTCCATCTTCTGCTGAAAGGAAGAAGCATTTAAGTTCAGGTGGGCACCTGAAAGTGGAGGCTGGTGGTGGCAGGTTGCCATCTGGGCAGCGCCCCACACCAGGAAGGGATGGTGGAGGTAACAATCTAGTACTTGTACCATAGGACATTAGCTATCAAAGAACCTTATTAAGGAGGAGAAAACAACTAAAGTCAGGGACAGAACCCGAACTCAAGCTCCAGGTTAGGATTGCCGAGTCCGGTGTTTCTACCATACCACTCAAATGCCTTAGGAGACGTTGCCAGAGTTGGAGGTGGGAAGACATGAGTTCAAGACCTACCTCATACACCTTTGGTGTGAACCTGGGCAAATCACTTAGCCTCACCTCCAGTTTCCTCATCTGTAAAATGGGAATAATAGAATCTACCTCACAGGATTGTTGTAAAGATGACTAATCAAGTCCTGTGTGGGAAGTGCCTGGCCTGTGGCTGCTTGGCACTTAATGTTCTAAATCAGTTTGTTGTCTTTTGATGACAATTTTTGTGGTTCAGCGGTTGGCTTAGTTTTCTGAAGTCTGGAATTCAAGAGAAAGTTTAGGAGACCTTTGCTGAGGAGCTGACCCTTCAAGGTTCTTTCTGTGTTTGTGTATCTGTTTCTGTCTTTCTGTTTGTCTTTCCCTTCAAGGTCCTTTCTGTATTTGTCTGTATATCTCTTTCTGTCTCTGTCTTTACCTCCCCACCCCCACCTCACTTTTGCTCTCTCCTCTCCTCCTCCCTCAAGTCAGTAAGCATTTATTTAGAACCTAAGTGCTAAGTGATGCAAATATGAAGAAATGCCAAAAAAACAAAATGTGCCTGTCCTCCAGGACCTTACAATCTAATGGGGGAGATACTGTGTAAATAACTGTGCAAACCAGATAATCAGCAGAGAAAAGGCACTAGTATTAAGGGAGATTGGAAAAGACTTCCTGTATTAGATGACATTTTAGTTGGTCCTTGAAGGAAGCCAGGAGGCAGAGATGGGGAGGGAGAGCATTGATGGCATGGGGGACAGCCAGGGAAAATGCCTAGCATTGTAATAAGAACAGCCAGGAGACTGCTGTTAACTGGATGGAAGAACCCAACCTCTACCACCACATGCCCCAAGCTAGTGAAACTGTGATCTCCCCCCAAATTTGTCATGGTACTTACGCCCTTATCTGGCCTTCCCTAGCATCACAGTGACTTATGAAAGTCTTCCCCTCTACTAAATTGTAAGTTCTTCGAGGGCAGGATCTATTGTATCTGTTTAATCCTAGAACCTGGCAGAGTGTTTTCTTATGTAGTAAGGTGCTTAGTAGGTGAAATGATAGCTTGAACTTATCTAGCACTTCTTGTTTTATAAGGAGCTTAATAATCTCATTTGATTCTTAAAACTGAAAGGCCAGACTTGGAGTTAGGAAGGAAGAACTGCTTCCAATTCTGTTTCTGACACTGAGTAGTTATGAAACCATGGGCAAGTCGCTTTTGACTGGGCCTCTGTTTCCTCCTCTGAAAATACCTCCACTTGCTACCATTGACCTAAGGATGAAATGAGATATGTAGGCAAACTTTGAAACTTGAAGTTGATGATGATTAGTTATATAAAATACACCGTGGAGTGGGTAGTGTGTGAATTACTTTTTAGCGGACGAAACGCAAGCATGTTGATCAAGTGACTCACCCAGGGTTGCATAGCTGATAAATAGTGGATCTGAAACTGGAATACAGAGTCTGACTTCAAATCCGGTGCTCTTTCCACTTGATGGTACGTGAAGGCGGCATACCAACTGCTCTACTGAGCACTAATCTAGCAAATTGGTTATGTCTAAGAATGCACTTGGAAGAAATACCACTTTGGTGGATCTGGGATCGGTCAGGATGAGTTCTCTCTGGTGCCAGTCTCAACTCAACTTTGTCTTTCCTGTTTTGGGCTTGGTTATTTTTTTTTTTAAAGTATTTTACAGGTCAACAACAAGCATTCTACTCATCCCTACTCACCCCCCACACTTGACTCATTGAATGATGTGGGGAGTTGGCAGACTCCTTACTCCCCTTTGCTGATTCCAGACTTTTCCTGTACCTACATCACTCAGTCACCTTTACCTTTGAGGTTCTTTCAGTCACATGTATCACCCACTCGAGATTCTGGTGGCATTTTACTACAGATGTCCAGGGTACCCTCCTTCCCTAATGAGTTCAGTGCCTGGTTCACAGTCTGGGAGCAGATAGAGCACTGAACCTGTAGCAGTAACTTAATACCTGTATGACCCTGGGCGAGTCATTCAACCACTGACTCAGTTTCCTTATCTGTAAAATGGTAATAATAATAGCAACTACCTCCTAGAATTGTGAGGATCAAATGTGA